TATTAGGGTTACTAACTACTTTTCATAACCCAAAAAGTTTTAACACTTTTGTTAGTCCTATAATTATATACATATTTTTTTAATTCATTATTGAATTACGACACAAATGAAATGGGAAATTCTTTTGTAGTCTACTTCCTTCGAATGATGATGAATCTGTTGGGGTTATGAGTAACTATTTTTCATATTTTATTGAGTGTATACTATATAGACAACCGTACATAGAGGTTTAGTCCATTGTCAAATACGACACTTTTGATAAATAAAATTGTGACTCCTCTCCCAAATTGCTTGTGAATTTCAAGGCTTTCAATCTACATGCTTGTAGTTCTCATGTATTTTGAGTGTCATCACAATCAATATCTATAGTCTTTACCACTTGTTACTAAGATGTTTGGCTTTTTATCTTTTCCCACTTGTTTCACATGCGAAATAGGCTTATTGTTGAACCCAACATTCCGGAAATTCGAAACGTATATTTAAACAAACTTCTTATATCTGCGCAACTAGTATAGCTAGACTAGCAGCAATGTGTAATTAAGGTATGAACGCTCTCTTTTCTTCCGTCTCTTTTAAAAGGAAATGCCCATAACACACTTAGAGCTCGGTATAAGTAGTATTAGCTAGACTAGCAGCAATATGCTTTTAAGTGTTTTAAGTTCTGCCGTCTCTTTTAAAAGGAAATGCCCATAACACACTTAGAGCTCGGTATAAGTAGTATTAGCTAGACTAGCAGCAATATGCTTTTTAGTGTTTCAAGTTCTGAAGCTGAACTCCAATTACTTTCTTCTTCTAATTCTGAAATATTTATTCCTTTTCAATATGCCTGTGTGGCAGGATAAAGAAGGTTTATTTAGCATGAACAGCTATGATATTCGTACCGACATGTCGAGCCCAGCTGGATTCAATCCTGTAGAATATAGTTTTATGGGAGAGCAGAGTTCAAGTTCCTTGCCTGAAGAATCCAAGGTTTTCTCATCAAATGTGGACATGAAACAAGGGTTAGATCCTGGGTTTTGGCTAGGAAAGGATGATTTAACATCAAGTGCAACTAATAATATCAATCATGTTACATTAGTGTGCGTCTGGTGTAGAAACGTGTTTTTTCAAGACGCACGCCAAGCTGGCAACCAAACAGGCGAGATAGGTACTATGTGTCCATCGTGCAGTTCAAGAATTCCGGCAACTGGTTTGTAATTCTTGTTTTTTCGTTTTTCTCTTCCCAGCAAGAACCAAAAATGCATAATTTCTTCGTTTAGGGATTAATGAAAAAGACAATAGAAAGAATCGATAGACAGCAGTATTTTTGTGGTTGCAATTTTTTACATAATTAGTCAAATTCTAGTTCTCCGTGGTTTTGACAACCCCTAACATTATTATGATTTGTGTTGGCTTCCGTTAAAGGGTTCATCATACATACCTGTAAGAAGCCCTAGATTCCTAGAATAAGGATCAGAGGCTCAAAAACAGTGATTGGCTGTTAAAAAACAAGAAAACGTGCTAATTAGAGACAAAATATCACCTAAATGGTACTGCATGCACAATAACTCCCTTTGATTAAATAATATTAATCAACCATTACTATATACATTTGCCAACAAATTTTTTTATTTACTCACTAATATTTTTTTACGTATCACTATTTTACTACTATTGTATTATATCAATTTTAATAACCACATTTTAACTCATATTCACTAACAAATTCAAAATTAAATCTTAATTTTCATCAAATTAATATTTTTTTCAATATTAACTCACTTTCTTAAATAAATTAAATTCGATTAAAAAATCCAAATATATTAATTTTTTTCTCTCGGCCTCGTAAAGTTAAAAGTTAGACAAAATATCTCTTCAAATACTCCACAACGGTAATAGTTAGGTTGACACATTTTTTCAACTAATATAAGTACTTTCATATTATAATATTATATTTTAAAATATAGCATAAATAAATGTATGACATTTTATAGTACAAGTATGATATTTTTATAAGAAAGTTTGACCGTCTAAAATTTAGGCTACTTAATATCAACATTGGTGATTTCCGGATTAACAATTTATTTCATTAAGCTTGTTTTTACGGCAATGTAGTTGTGGTCGTCTATATTTTATATTTATATTTTCTAACTCATATTTGCTAATTAATTTTACTGGAATTTTATGATTATAATCGATATAAATATTAACATACTCTTTAGATGACAATTAATATATATGTCCATTATCTGTATTATATTATTCGTTTTAAATTTGACCCTTGGTGTGTTTGTTAAAGGAATAATTTGAGTAAATTAATTTAAAGTGAATTAATTAGGGTTAATTTAAAAAAAATGGTATAGTTAGTTGTTAGTGGAATTTTGAGTTTATATTAAAATGATTAAAATTTATTTGATGTAACAGTAGGAGAGAGATAATATGATGTGATGGTTAGTTAAAATTATGTGAGTGGATGAATAGTGAATTAAAGTTTATATTTATGTGTAAAAGTGATTGGTTGTTATTATTTAATGATTGATTGTTATTACTTAATTATATTGATAATATTGAGAATAGTGGGGTTGAATTATACTTGAGTTAGATTTTGAGTACATTTATTTGGTTTGAGTGAATTCTTCAACAAACACATCCAGTGATCATATAAAAGTAAAATTTATCTTACGCAATATTTAACATTAAATAATTTTTAGTTTGATTTTCTTTACAAGCCACGTGTAGTTTTTCATGTCCTTTTTCGGATTGCACGGACCAAAATAAGTGAACACTTGAGCGTAAGCATCATTAAAATTCGATTTATTAACTTTCAAATCAATTAACGAAACTTCCAATGGTAAAATAAGTGAATACTTGAGCGTGAGCATCATTTAATTCGACTTGAGCTCGATTAAATTGAATATGAACTAAGGAATTAAATGCTCGGTTAAGAAACTTAATCGGGCTTGGACTAAATAAATTAGTCAGCCGATTTAGACGGGATTTAAAAATCGACATAGGCTCGATTTTTAATTAAACTTGAACATGGGCTCAATTTACTAAAATGGGCCGGAAGTAGAATAATTTGGGCCAGCTAGAATAATTGGACTCGCTCGTTTACTGGGTTTCGGCCCAACTTAATGAAATTTCCGATTATTTCCAAGGCTCGGTTTTACCTTAAAAATAAAACCGATACTTGGGCAAAATAAATCCGATTTTAAAATTTAAAATCAAATAAATTCTTCATGGCTTAGATTTAATACTAATTACTCGATTTAATGCAAATAATAATAATTAAATGCATCAAATAAGAAAATTGACTATTTAGTCGAGCTCTATAAAAAGTAAATAATATTCGGGGCGTTACAACACCGATAGGGCTATAGGGTGAATTTTCTATTATTATTGGTTTGCATCAAAGTTCGGCGTTGAGTCCGTACCAAGTATGTATATAAAAAAAAATAATAGTTATATATAGTAGTGCATTACGTAAAATTTTGCCTATACTTTACATTTGCACCAGCACCCTCCCGCCAGTTTAAAGTTCATGTCGATTGTCGTCTTATTTATTTTTTTGACATATTTGTTTTCTGTTCAAAACCAATCATACAATAAGTATGTCGTTGATGTAGAGTGTGGTAGGTGACAGAGTAATGCGAGAAACTCTCTTGATAGAACTTAAATTATTTGATAAAATCTCAATTCAATAGGTGATTGTCTTATGCGTAGGAGAGAACAATATATAGAATCTCAACTCTCCTAATCCTACTTATATTGCCTAATAAGCTAGGTCAGATATTTATTTACTTACCAATATTAATAAAATAACTAAGGCAATAAAATAAAATTATAAATAATACTAGAAAATAAATAACTAAATATGGAGTCAATCATATTTGTTCAAGAATGCAATCACGGTCTCGTCTCCATCATCCTCCCCCGATTGAGAAGAATTCGTCTGTGAATCCGAACCGGTCTCGTCTTAGTCAGAATTGTCACCAGTGAACGGCACCAAATACTTGACATTGAAAACGTCAGAAGTGCGAATGTGCAACGGGAGGCGAAGGCGATAAACATTTGGGTTGATTTTCTCAAGCACCTGGACCGGGCCTATCTTCCGGGCAGGCAACTTAATATACTCATGGGTCGAGAACCTGTCCTTTGTCAAAAACGCACAAACAAAGTCGTCTACCTCGAACTCCACATGCCTGCGTCGAGCATCCGCCTGAGACTTGTAAGATGCCGTAGTCTCCTCCAAACGAGCACGAGCTGCAACGTGGGTCGACTTCAAATCCGCGATAAGATCCGATGCCCTCCTATCGACCGATGAGGCGGACGGTAAAACCATCAACTCGGATGGACCACATGGCTGCACGGCATAAACAGTCTGCAATGGTGAAAACCCAGTGGCCCGACTAACGGCCAAATTATGCATGAATTCGGCTTAGCTCAGCCGTTGGTCCCAACTCCAGAGGTTATCGCCAACTAAACAACGAAGCAAGTTCCCCAACGAGCGATTCACCACCTCCATTTGGCCATCCGTCTGTGGATGATACGCACTGTTAAAATTAGACGCGTGACATAACACAGTACAATACGGCTTATAGGGTGTAAAGTATGAGACAAATCGGCGTTTAGGGACTCAACAATGGCTACTAGGTAAAAAGCAAGGTCGAGCGCTTGATTACCTTCCTGAGCTGGGAGGTGATGTGGCGTAGCACGGCAGCTCAGTGGAGGATAAGCTCGGCAGTGAGGTCGAACTCAAAGGATAAACTCAGCATGTGCTCGTAGGCGCACGAGACCTAATAGGGCAAAGATGCGGTTGACAGGTTAGCTCGACGGAGTGTGAAGTAAGGCCGAGCTTGAGCTCGGCAAATATTTGAAGCATTGAGGCTAATGTGTGGTTGTGGTAAGAGTTCGGTATGTGGTTGACTATCGGGATGTGGCACTTCCGTATAAACAATGGAGTATAATTCCTCGTGTTCCAAAGAGTTGGAATTAATTAGAACTCTTGAGTTCTAGATAAGATATGCATGAATGAGAGATGGATGAAGAGGGGACTCTCGGCTGCCTAAAGAGTCTTTGGAGACACAACCACTTTCGGCTATATAAAGGGACATGTTCTTCTCCTTTACACAACACACAAATACACAACATACACATAATCTCGTTACATTGCCATTTCTCTCGGATATTCCACTGACTTGAGCGTCGGAGTACCCGCACCGGGATCCCTTCCGTTGTGTTTTGCAGGTAACCGGCGGTCGGGGAGGTGCAACCCGGTTTGAGAGAAGCGGTCGAGCGGTTCGAGACAATTTGGCGTATCAACGCATATTCGCCATACGCCACAAGAAACGCCAGAAGTGACTCAGAAACCCAGAGTCCCAGTCCGAGACAATAGAGGAAGGAAAGCCATGCAGGCGGTAGATCTCGCGAAGGAACAACAAAACCACATGAACAACATCAGTAGTGCGCTTACATGGAATGAAGTTCACCATCTTCGAGAAAAGATCCACGATGAAAAAGGAGCCGAACCCCCGCTGAGTACGCCGTAAACCCAGCACGAAGTCCATACTTATCGCGCTCCATGGCCGGGAAGGGATTGGAAGAGAGAGGTATAAATCGACATTCGAGGCAAACCCTTCGAAACGTGGCAAACTCGACAGTGCTCCACATAACGTGCCACATCCCTCCTAATTTACGGCCAAAAGTAAGACCGCCGCACCAAGTCCACCGAATGATCGCGGCCCACTTGACCGAGACACATGGCAAACTTGACAGCGCTCCACATAACATGCCACATCCCTCCTAAATGACGGCCAAAAGTAAGACTGGCGCACCAAGTCCACCGACCGCCCACGTGATCAGCGCCAAGGAGATCGGCAATGAGCTGCTACCGGAGACTGCAATCCGGACTACATAGGTGCACTCCACGGATCATAAATCCATCGATCATAGTGTAGTCCTCAAAAGGACCCATCTCGAGGTGGCGCACAATCGGCCTAAAGAAAGGATCATTTACGTAAACCTCTCGAGGTGGCCCACAATCCGGACTACATAGGTGCACCCCACGGATCATAAATCCATCGATCATAGTGTAGTCCTCAAAAGGACCCATCTCGAGGTGGTGCACTATCGGCCTAAAGAAAGGATCATTTACGTAAACCTCTCGCAAAATATCGAACCCAATAACGGAGACACGCCTGTCGGTCAAAAGAAGCACCTGACGGCTCAAAGTGTCCGCCACTCTGTTTGAAGCACCGGAATGATGCCTCGAAACAAATGTAAATTGTTCGCCACTCCCAGAATTTTCATGCTCATCCTCATTGTCATCAGACTTATCATTTTAATCCTCATCCTCGTTCTCGGAACAAGCAACTTTCTTCCCTGAGTTTTCATGCGCATCCTTATTGTCATCAGACTTATCATTGTCATCATCATCTTCATTCTTAGAACAAGCAAGCTTCTTCCTTGTTGAAGCTTCATTTTCCTTACTAGCTTCCACATAAATATGAACATAATGCTTGCATGTCTTCACTTAACCAATCATTTACATTACCTCCTAATCATTACAAATGATTTTGTAATCATATGACCCTGAAATCTTGTAGCAAAGATTAATCATTCACCGTATCATATTTTCTTAACTTCTTCCTCAAGGTCAAAATAACAAAACCTATCAATATCAAACTCATATCAGAAAGTATCATCACCTCCAAATTACTCCTTATTTGTTATCTATAGTTACAAATGTTCCCCGGCGGTGTATAAAAGGCACAAAATAATTTATGCATAATAAAAAATAACAAAATTAAATTCAGATAAACATAAACTCTTGAATTCTCTTTACCCTAAATCATATTCCAAAGAACAAGAATAAATCATTTATTGATGCTAAACAAAACGTGATTACTATATCCTATTTTCATAATTTAAAATTGCATCGCAGGCAAATTTCTTGAATTTCCTAACAAGGAATTAAAAAAAAAACGATAGATTGGCTTACAAAGATAATCTTGACATATTTTTAGATATTTATTTTTTAGCTATGCAACGAGATTTGATAATATAAATCTGACATATTCATGCAATATTTATATAATAAAACACATAAATATGGGCCCACAAAGATTTTTAGTCCAATTGGCTAAGCTTGGACTTCTTGAACCACAAGTTGAATCAATTTGTAAAACAGTGACAACCAGCAAATGCTTAAGTCAGGGTAAAATCCCCAATATTATTTTGTAATCAAGAACCCGCTTGGTAAAGCGGATAGCCCTTGTCTCTCACCCATGGCCCTTGGTAAAAATCACAATTTCGCCACTTTTCAACCATTACATTATCAAAAAAACCTTCGGATTTCTCAGTATCTCAACTAAAAATTCAACTCAATTTTACTATTTTCACTATCAATCAATTACTCTTACACATCACATTAATTTTAATTTATACTATTCATATAATTTTAACTACCTACCACATCTTATGATTTCTTTCATACTTTTACATCAAATTAAATTTAATTATTTTATTTTAAATAATATTTTAATAATCTCACTAAAAATTAACTAAATCAACTTTTAAAAATTAACTATAATTAATAAAAAAAAACCAATAAAAAAATTGATTTATTTGTATACAAGCAAGCCCCTAGTGGTGGTTAATCCAGTGAATAACCCGACCAAGATGTAACTGAACCATACCGTTTTATGAATTATAATTAGACATCAACAGTTTTATTCATTATTTATTTATTTTAATATTTACATTTGTAAGCAGAACAACGATCGCAGGTAGTGTCGGTTGAGGCAGTATAGCAAAAAGTACAAGGTTTTATATTTTCATGAAAATCCACCCAAACCCAATCCAAATTGGTGGACCCCACCCACCCACTTAAAGTTTGTGCTATGTATAATAAAAGTCTCATATAGAGTTGGTGAGAATGGGCATTTAGAACTGATTACCATCTCACCAACTTTCTTCAACCAAACCAAGGTTAAGGCCATTTCGTCAAGATTTTCCCAACTCCTTGTTCAATTATATCTGATATTTAATTCCATTAATTGTCCATTTTCTTCGTTTTTCTCATACAAGCTATCCAAATGTCCGTTGGTTGGTCAAAAGTGACAGATGCCAGCAATAACAAATCTTGCCATTTGGTAATTCGTTCAAAAACAATTGCTACTTTAAAATATATTTTTAATAATTAATTAATGAATTTGTCTATTATTTCAAGCATGAATTATGATTTTCCTCGTTCCTTTTTAATAAAAGAAAAATAATATTAACAATTTTAATGATCAAGTTTCGGTTTACCCATTGTTCACATAGGTCCCGTGATGTTTAGTGGAAATTAAGAATACCCACGATTCAGTTAGGTCCCTTGGATTAGTGAAAATAAGTAATAGAATTAAATATAAGTCTTGAATGAAGTATATACAACGCACTATTTTTAATCTCTCTTTTAATATATAAATGTAGAATTTTGGAGTCAAATTATCATTTTATGATACACTATTTTTAATCTCTCTTTTAATACATAAATGTAGAATTTTGGAGTCAAATTGTCATTTTATGATACTTTGTGATCCTAAGCGTCACCCTATAATGTTTTATGGGTCAATTTAAATTATAAAAGAACACATGATCAAAAACGTCCTTATAAGAAAGTTTTTCCTGATTTTTAATAATTTCATAATCATATGAATTGAAAATTTTCCACATAGTATCAACTTTTGAAAATCTTCCCTATATGTATAAACTTTTAATGTGTTTGGGTGGGTTGTGATTGGATATTCAAATATTTGAATAAAAATCTCCTTGAAAACAAAAAATTCAAAAGTGACCAAAAATATTATTAAAATAAATAAAATATTTTTTAAAAATGTGAATAAGTATTAAAAAACTAATAATCTGAAGTGATATGGTAAAAAAAATAAAATGTAAAATAATAAATAAATGGTAGAGAACACTACAACAAAATGATGAAATTTCAATGAAAATATATTCCAATGAAATTCTAACGGCAATTCCAATGGATATTCTAATGCTATTAATTTCCGTTGGAATTTTTCAGTGGATTCCAACAAAATTATACCGTTGGAATAAATTTTCTAGTGGAATTTTTGTTGGATTTTAACAATACCAACGTAGATTTTCCAACATGGGTGATAATAAAAATTCCAACATAAATTCCTACAATAAAAAGGCGTTAAAAAATAGTCGTTAGAATCATCAAATTTCATTTAAAATTCCAATGGAAAACTCATTCCAACGGAATATTTTAGTTGGAATTTTCAACGGAAACTTATCTATTGGAATATCCGTTGGAATTTCTATTGGAATATATTACCGTAAGATTTTTTGTTGGAATATAACTATTTTTTCTGTTGTTGATAATGAAATTTATATGAGACGACAATAGCAATTTTTTTTTATTATTGTTTACGTTGTTTTGGATATTTATATTAATGTTTTTTTGTTTCGTTTTTATTTTTGTAGTTTTGTCGTGTGCTTATGTTTTAGTTGTTGAGTACTTCTCCAGTGATGTTGTCTGATTGTTGTTCAAGAGCTGCATGCGAAATAAGGCATTTGAGCTAGTAAAGTTATGTAAATAAAAATGTAACATATACTGAAAATATATTGATTGTAAACGAAACATAAACTAAAAATATTCTATTGCTCGTTTTGAACAAGACTATGATGCTCGTCGTTAATCTTTGACCTCTTTTTATTATTACTATCGACTTGGTCACTTTTGTTATTGTATATGACGAAGATGTAAATTGAATATATCTACTTATATGTTACGAAGACGTAAATTGCATATGTCCACTTATATGTTATATAAATAGTTACAGGTTATAAACCAACCATAAACTGAATTTAAGTTGAGCAAACAAACAAAATTGTAATCTAGTATGCATAATATTTTTTACATCATGAGAGCTTTTATAATATGTTTTACATATCAATGTTGTACAAATTGTAAGTATTAAATTAACTATGAAATATAAACAAAAAATATAAACAATATTGAAACATCACAATCGTGGTTAGATAATATTATATAAATAAAAATACAACATCGATGTATTTCAAGCAGGACGAGATACTGAACATACAGCCGCGCGTTCACACTAGGGACGGTACCGTAATTAACGAATTCAAGTGTGAAATTAACGAATTCAAGTGTGAACGCCTTGACGAGGTACTGAACATACATCGACGCGTTCACACTTGAATTGGTTAATTACGAAATTCAAGCAGGACGAGGTACTGAACATACATCGTCGCGTTCACACTTGAATTGATTAATTACGGTACCGTCCCTAGTGTGAACGCGACGATGTATGTTCAGTACCGAGTATAAACGCAACATATACTGAAAATATTACTAGGCCAATTTACATATATACTCTCGGAAATGACAACTCTCGTCCAAGCCTACCACTGGCGATACTCTCAGACTTCGAGGAGGACGACCAGAGGAAGCCATTATCTTCTTCGATGTCGGCGAGAAAGCCGTTCACCGCTGCCTACGTTCAGTCAGATCTGTTGCGCTGTCGTTCTCCAGCGTCACCGTGCATGGATGTCATTTTCCAGACATCTTCTCCATCCACGACCTCGACAGTGGACATCTGGAGTTCTAAGTCGGGGACTGGTTCCTAAAGTCGATCGTCTTTTTGACGTTGCAGGCCTTCTCCATCGTCTGCAGGGGTTAGATTCGTCCAGTCTCTGGCCAAGATTCTCGACCATGGTCATGGACCTGGAGAAAGAAGGGAGCGTGGGTGGTGATGGCTAGATTCATCGTCATCTCCGGCCATCTTAACGAAATTCTCTCTCTCTCTCTCTCTGAATGGAAAAGTGTGGCGATGGTAGGTACGGTGGACGAGGATGAATGAAAGGTGAAAGTGAAGAAGATCATAAAGAATGTTAGTACACTTACAAATAAAAATTAGGTTTTTGGTATAATTACAAATAAAAATTAGGATTAGTATATGTGCAATTATTTAGCAATCAATTAAGTATATGTGTAAATTGGCCATATATTAATATGGACATTACTAATATACAAATTGGCTTGAATCCCATTAGCTAGGTTATATTAAATTTATGTCTATTTTGTAAAGCCTATGAAGAGAGAACACGATGAATGAAATAATGGCTGACTTTTTCTGCCCCTTCTCTCTACTGCGTTACAGATATATTGTTTCTTATGTTTGATGTGGAATGAAGAAAACTTGATAAAGATTGAGAATTCCAATTTACAACAATATTGCCATTTTATGATACTTTGTAATCTTATATGTCTTATGTGCCACCCTGTAATGTTTTTCCTGATTTAAATTATAAAAGGATAAAGTGATCAAAAACGTCCTTAGAATAAAGTTTTTCCTGATGAATAATTTCATAATCATATAAATTGAAAATTTTCCACACAGTATCAACTTTTGAAAATCTTCTCATAGGTATCAACTTTTAATGTGTTTGGGTGGGTTGTGATTGGATATTCAAATTTTTGAAAAAAAAAAAAATATCTCCTTGAAAATAACAAATTCAATGTGACAAAAAATATTATTTAAATAAGTAAAATATTTTTTTAAAATCTTGAATATTGAAATAAAAACTAATAATCAGAAGTGATATGGTAAAAAATAATAAAATAATAAATAATAAATAAATGGTAGAGAAATATGTGAGTGATCGAAATTTTGTTGTTTGGTCAAGAAATATAACTGTATTATTTTATTTTCCTATTATTTTAGTGTAATTAATGAGAAAAAAAAATGAGATATGGCAAATCGCGTTTATCAATAATGCTAAGGAGTCAACAGCCAATAAGATAGCTCCATGTGGGACTGTTCCACATGGAACAGTCCCACATGGAGCTATCTCATTGACTGTTGGCTCCTTAGCATTACGGTTGTATTTCTTCTTTTTTTTTTTTTTTTTTTTTTATAAGTGTCGACNAAGTGTATGTCCACATAAGAGCAAAACCAACTTATTTGATTTATATGAAAAAAATTAAAAGTGTAGTCAGGCAACTCTTACCATTGGAATGCAATTGATTGATTATTAGTAATCTCACAATTTGTAAATCGATCATAATGAGAACATTTCTATCGAAATTTCACGTCACATAGAAAATGACACGTCATGTCCAGATGTCCCGTTAACTGACATTTTACCTCCACCTGATTTATAGAAAATTTTAAAAGCAGTATGGTAATTCGAAATATGTTTTAAAAGTAGTCCCACCAAAGTCTAATCAATTATAGTAGTCCTGTAAATTTTAAAATTTATTAATTTGTAAACTTTGATTTTTTTTTTCCATGGAAAAAGGAATATATTAAAACTCAAACCAAACAGAAACATCCGAATAATCCACTGATGTAAATTTTGATTGAGATTAGGGGTGGTATCTGTTCAGTTACCGAACCGATAAGCGTATACCGATACCGTACTGATAATGTCGGTAACCTCGGAATGCAAAACCGATACCGAACCGATTAAAGTCGATTACCGAAAACTCGGTTCGGTTTCGGTTCGGTATCGGTTTTATATCCAAAAAATCGAACCGATTTTGAGCACAAAAAAAAAATTGCTAGTGTTTACTTTTCTCGTCATTTTTGTAATTTTTTTCACTTCTTACCAATTAAATACACACAAAAGACTCACAAATCCATTGAAGGATTAAAAAGCTTAAATTTAATGTATAGAAGTTAGTTTATATATTATTAGATTATGGTTTTTGTGGTAAACGCAACTAATAAAACAATATATTGCTAACATGCAAGAAATAAAATTTGTGATACAACTTCAATTAACTTATCTAGTAATGGTGGTACGAGAATAGACTACAATAACGGTAGCATGCATCTTCTTTAGGAAAAGTGAGACTGGTAAACCAACAATGTTCCGATTAGAAGGTGAATGAGACGATAAATAATGGTATTTTTCTCATCATTTTGAGATTTAAGTATGATTGAGCCCTTATTTCAATTTTTGAACACTATACAACTAATCATTATTTTAATATTTTAAAAAAAAAATCTTTGTTTTATTTTTTTACCCTTATCGGTTCGGTATCGGTATCGATTTTATCAAACTCTTATGGGTTCAAACCGATACCATACCTATAGTGATTCGGTAATCGATAGTCGGTTACCGTTACAAGTGGTTCGGTACAATTTGGTTTATTTTTTTGTCGGTTCGGTTTGGTTCGATTCGATTTCCGGTTTTCAGTTAAAAAAAATTGAGATATGATTTTCGGTCAGAGAATTTACAAGTGTAAAAACCCCATTTACCAAATCAAATCAGGCGTGGTTGGTGAGGCCTCCAAATTTATATAATGACCGCCCAAATTTCAGATTATCAATTAAACCCCCACCACTATCGCCGCCGTGATTCACCACTCTCCTCCGCCCTCGCATCAAGCATTTTATCCTTTTTTCCAATTTTGTCCTCCCTTAAATAAATCACCATGAAGATCGACGTTAAGGCCTCGACCATGGTCCGACCGGCGGCGGCGACGCCGTCCGGCGGCCTGTGGAACTCGAACGTCGACCTGGTGGTCCCCAACTTCCACACGCCCAGCGTCTACTTCTACCTCCCCACCGGCGCGGAGGACTTCTTCAACGCCGCCGTGCTCAAGGCGGCGCTCGGCCGCGCCCTGGTGCCGTTCTACCCCATGGCCGGGAGGCTGAGGCGGGATGAGGACGGCCGGATCGAGATCGACTGCAACGCCGAGGGCGTGCTGTTTGTGGAGGCCGAGTCCGACGGCGCCGTGGCGGATTACGGCGACTTCGCGCCGACTTTGGAGCTCCGGCGGCTGATCCCGGCGGTGGACTACTCGCAGGGGATCTCGGCGTATCCGCTGCTCGTGTTGCAGGTGAGTTGTAGGTGTTTCATTGGTTCATGATATTATTTATTATTAATTTATTTATTATCCCTTTTTTAAAGGAAATATTTATTTGTATAAATTTTGGCTGCACTGATTAACGATAATCTAATTAGTTACAGGTGGAATTAGTTTACATTTACTAATCGTATCAATCTATTCTGTACATGTGCTTTTTTTAAATTTGCTATAAAATACTTGTTTTTTGAACTTTTGAATTTTGCTAAAAAAAAATAATGAATAAAAAAATAAAAAAACTACATGTTTAGCGTAGGAAGAACTCAATAAACAACCTTTGCTCATCATTGCCCACTGTGTCGTGGTCGAATAGGTTGGATTTTTTGCTTGATTATAAAATATTTTGATTTTGTTTGAATTTTTTAGTTTAGTATGATTAATTTTGCAAAAAGTGGTATAGTTAGTTGGTAGTGAAATTTTGAATTTATATTTAACAAAAAAAAATTAAGTAGATTTGATTTTAAAAGTAATAGTATCATGTGAAATGATAGTTAGTTAAAATTATATTAGTGGATTAAAAAAAATTATGTGAGTGGATAAATAGTAAGGTTGATATAATGTGTAAAAATGATTAAATAATGTTATTTAATATTGAATATAGTAGTAGAGTTGCGTTAAAGTTGAGATGGATTTAAGTTAAAAGTAGTAATTAATTAAAAATGATTCACATTTTTTGGATAAGTTGGACCGCCATGATATTGCACCATTATCCTGAGGACAATTACCAAACTGCTGCTCGGTTATGATGAAAAATGGCAGTCTAGCGATAGAGTTTTAATTTGAGCCGCTTATTTAGAAAAAAAAAATTGCGGTTGTGAAGCTTCCTTGGTTCCAACTTTCTACAGCCTAGTTCAAAAAGGTTTATTTCATTCATTAGCAAAAAGTCCTTCAAAATAAATGAAATAAATAAGAGCCAATTTTATGATATGCAACAAAAAAAAAATAAAAAATCTATAAAGTGTGTAACACATGTAAATACTCCTTTGGTCAATTTTATTAATTGTAATCAATTCTTTGTGTTTTTATGGAAATAATAACTTATTGCGTTAGT